TGCAGTATTGGCACAACAGCAGCAGTCAATCGACAATTCTGATCGAAGCGAAACTGTTGTTGGCATTGTGCAAACATCTACTTTGAATGTTAATCAAACAGACGATCGAAACAAAACTGATTCTATGAACGGTGCACTAAAATCTGTTCGCGTAAAGAACGAGGTTATCGAAGAAACAGGGGCCAACAATGCAAATAATTCAGGAAATGTTCCAATGTTTTCACCGCCCAGCACATCATCAAACATTTTCTCCGGTCAGATTCCAACTCACTTTGTGCGACTAGATCCAAGCTTATACAATGTATTAAGTGCTCAAGATAAGAATCAATCGTACGAACGTCAGAGTCAAGTGTCGACAATTGAAGGTTTTTTGAATCTTGTTCCAACTCTTTTTCCCAGCAAATTCAAACACGTACGTTTATTAAATTCCATTTTATAAGCTATAAAAGCTAATTAATCACAAATTTAATTGCAGGAGGATACGAAATTACGTTTCGACGAGTACAACGTGGTTTTGAAATTGGGTGTGACTCGTATGCTGATTGAATGGCAAAGTTCTCCGACGTTTTCATCAATTTTGTATGACGCCAAATTTGTTCATTTATTATTGATTGCGGTGTTTACGGACGATGAAATTATCGCCGGAAAATTCAACACGAAGAAAATGAAATTCGTCAGAGGTATAAAAAATTGACTACATATTCCACTTGCAATATTTTACCGTACGTACGCAATATTTTACCTCTAACATTTTATTTTTCATATTTTGATTTTGTACACATATAGATGCATTTGCAAGACGCATTGGTTCGGTTGCAGATAGATTGATGCGATTTTTTGATTACGTACAGCGATGCAAGGAAAAGACTACTGAAAAATCACAAAAACAGAACAATTAAGGAAACGATTCAAGGCTAATTTGACATGAATACTCTAAATCATATTTTTAAACGGTGCAATAACCGATTTCGTTCCTTATTTTTCGTACATAAAAAATAGTTATTTCTCGAAAAAATCTCAGATGTATACGTACAAATTTAATATAAAAACCATAAGAAGTGAATTCGTTACATATTACTGTGTTTCTTTATTTGAAAAATCTTGGCATATATTGAGAAATCTCTTGTTCCTTTATTGAAATATTACAGCATACGAAATCAAAAAAAAATGCACGAAAATGTTCCCAACGTAAGCTATTCGGTTTGTTCGAAATGTAAGTCATCTGGTCTCATAATTGCTTCTTCTTCAGTATGGCTCTTGGCAAGTAAATTATTATTTAAGCGAACGACGAGAATATCTTCCAACGTTTCGTCTCCAATTCTCGTACGATGTGAAGTAAGCACCAATGCTAATGCCGAAAAAATACGTTCTACAATGGTTTGTGTCGGTGGCATGGCCATTATAACCGAAGCTAGTTTGTATAATTCTGGGTATGTGTCTTTCTTTTCATTCCAAAAGTCCAACACAGACGCTGTAAGGGGAAGTTGTACTTTGCCAAAAAAATCATTCAGAATGGTAGTAATTTTTTCCTTTTCGTTAGGTGTACTCGATTCACTCGTACGATTTACACCATAAGCTGAATTGCAAGCATCCAAGTATTGGTCCAATTCCTCGTACGACCCATCTTCATTATTTTTCTCTTCAATGGTTTCAACTGTATTCGACTCATCTTGATAGGCTTCAACTTCGATTATCTTTGCATATAAATTGGCAAGAAACACTACAGCCAAGTCTTTGTTTTCACCAACACCTCTTTGGAATCTCGGATCGAGATAGACCGCTGCAATGAGAGTGGGATTTTTCATCAGTAAGTGGTGATATTTGTCCATTTGAGTCAACAAATTCTTGGAGAGTTCATCATTTGCTTTGGACACTTTTATACGAAGCATTGTCCAATATCCAAAAAAATCTGACAGCGTGGCTGTTTCCGATTGCACTTTTTTGCTATACTTGTTAAATGGAGCCAAAATAGCAATAATGTTTTGAACTGTATTCCATTCGGCTTCAGACAAAAGTTCGTACGTATCACAAAAAGGCTTTAGTTTCATCAGACGTTCGAGCTGAAAATAAAATGAAGTGTTTTAATAATAGTACAAATCGAACGGACATTCAAATAAATTAATAAATACCATTGAATATATCGAATTCCAGCGAGTCTCAACGTCAATTATTGCCATGTTCAAGTTTGCTGACTTGAGTTTTGAGCGAAAAGTTGGCGTTCTGAGCTTCTTCACCACCGTACGAGATGCACTTATTACCTCTTTTATTGCTGGCGATTTTTCAATCGCATGCGATACGACGAGATTAATGCAATGTGCGCCGCAGGAGATTGATTGTATTAAATCTGATGAACATGTACAGTTAAAACTCGCACGAACTTCTGTTAATAAATCATCATAGTACTCATCATCAAAAATATCTGGATCGATGTAATATTCGTCATCATACTCTGCAAAATCATCTGATTGCTTTCGATTCGACTCCGATTTTTGAGCTTGATAAATTGCGTCCAAAATTGTAATTGCTTTCACCATATTCTTTCCGTTATCCGATGTAACTGATACGACTTGTGCTAAACGAATTCCATATTCCTGAAGAATCTGTATGAGTATGTCTTTGATGTACACCGCTGTGTGGGAAGCCTTCAACACACGTAGCCCAATCGTACGAATACAAATTTTCCCATTGTGTACGTACGAAATGCTGACACCGAGTACCGATCGATTATATCGTGATGCAATATCAATCATTAGCGACACCGTTTTATTTTTGGTTTCTTCTTTGATAATTTGCTTGATTTTGTCCGAACTTCTCTTGATATGTTCTTTGATGCTGTTTTTGCTTATCGACAGTTTGATGCCTTTCATGTTCAAAGCGATAACATATGGATTCAATATTTTTTTGAATGCTGGATATTCAACAGAACATATCGGCAGTCCGTGCATTGTAATTAGTTCAGCACATGCATCTAAAATATCATTCGGATTCACTTTTACTCGAAGATCAAACACATATTGTGATTGGTTTGTTTGGACACTTTCTTCTACTTTATTATTCCCAATAGTATTATGGATTTCCTTGTGATTTATTCTAAGATGACGAATAGCTGAAGACTTTTCGGCATATTTACTTTGGCAGCCAGCCACGCCACACAAATAATCGAATTTTCCATCAATGTTCTGTGTTTTTTCAAAGCACTCAATGTAATTTTTTATATTCTTTGCAATAACGTCGTCGATCGAAAGATTTGTCATGAAAATGAACAAAAAATTGGCTAAATTTGAAAATATCTGAAACGTACGATTGTTGTTTATAAATGGAATGCAACTCTAAAATGTTCTGATATGTATTGCTAAATGTCAAATAAAATGTTCAGAAAGTAGCCGTTGTTTCAGTTGGCACGATTTGACAGTTGTGCGATTTCATGTCATTTGTGGAACATTGTGTTTGGCGGCAAACAGTCTATCGGTTGGTTTTCATAAGCAGTGATTTCAAACGTACGATGTTTTTCTTGATAGCGATTAAATCTTCGGGCCAAAAAAAGATCGTTCCCATGAAATGGGTCAAGGGTTTGAATCTTTCACAACTGCTGAATGATGGTGTAATTATTCACAAAAAGAAACAGCTTTTGGTTTACATTTCATCGAACATTGCTGAGGAACCAGATTTTAGTTTGGAGGTGTTTGAAGCCTTACAACATGGAAAACCGGGTTTGTACAAGGCGTTCATTTTGAAATGTTTTGGTAATAAAAAAATTCAATTTGAATTTTGAAATTTTAGAAAGTAACAAAACCAATTTTTCATTAGATACGTACGAAAGTGCCATGAATTATTTCAACAAGTTTTACAATAACAACGAGCATACGGGTGCCTTTGATCTGGACGATGATGATATCGACCGCATCCAAGCGATATTGGATGGAAGTGATGATGATGACGACGACGATGTGGAATTTTTATCGATTGGCGCACAAATGCCACAACCAAAAAAGGCAGCACAAAAAGAATAAATGATTCAAAGCAAAAAAAAAAGTCACTGTGTACAAAGCAGACGTTCGTCGTTTATATATTTTGTTTGAGAATAAAACACATTGAATACAAAAATGAAATGTTTTTTTCATTTATTTATCTATGTCGTACGTTAATCATATGAGAAGAGGTAAATGTAAAGTAAAGTTTTGTGTGAAACTGGCTGTAACACCCATTGAATACAAAAATGTTGTATCTTGTTCATTTTATCGTACGTTAATTATATAAAAAGATGGTTTTCAATGAATCCCAGGTAACTGGTTTTCGGCAAAGTGGGCAGCATTTCTTTTGATAAAGCGATTGAGCAATGCATGAAGTACAGAAAAGATGACCACATTGTGTCATTTTCACATCACATCCCACCATATTGTCATAGCAAATCTTGCATTCAATCCCAATCCATTTTGGTTCCATGTACTTCACTTCGTTGTTGTGTACTTGAAAATTGAACGATTGGCCAAAAGCAGCAATACCGATTTGAAATTTGGCAGCAGAGTCAACTTTGAACGTAACATCTGCGGACGACACTTCGTTTTCGGGTTGGACGGCTCGATATTCAACGGTTCCATCTGGATAGACACGAATTTTCTTGTTGATCACAAAGAAGTCTTTAATAAGACGAACCGAAAATCGTACGTTATCGCTGGCATCGACCACATTCACAACGCAACGATGATTATCATCGGGATAAAATTGATAGTATCTGAACGCTCGGTCCTGTTTCACGAACAAACCATTCGTTGCAGCAAACATGAGTGGCAGTATATCACCAGTGACATCAGTCTTCTCTACACCATCAATCAAATAAATATTTGCCTTTGTGTAGAATGTCATATCTGCAACCAGAGTGGCAGCTCGAATTGACTTGTATTCGATGGGTTGACTGACGAAATCTTTGTTGGTACAAGCCCAAAAATGGTTTGATGCATTTTCACAAAAGCGATTGCAGAGCCAGCAACGGGTCCATTTCTGGGGTTCGGGGCAATTAACGCTTAAATGACCCTTTTTATAGCAATTGTAACAAAGCTGGTCCATATTTTCACTTGAAACAGCTTAAATCGTACGAAATGTCTGGCTTGGTAGACAAATTCAATAGTAATCGATCGTACGCTGATTTCTTTGGTCCGTTCA